AGACAAGGACACAAAATTGCAAACTGCTTAAGTAAAAGGCAGTCAAGAGCAGTAAGTGCATTGTCTATTTAGATATAATTAGGAATACAACTGCATTTATTCATGAATGCTATGTGAACAAGTAGAGATTAAAAACAAAACCCAAAAGAACAGATTAAATTTAATTAAAAATGTTCTGAATTATGGTCAAAGCAGTGAGAATATCAATAATTTTTTAAAATATAGATCCTTGGCTGGTGCAGTGGTTCATCCCTGTAATCCCAGCACTTTGGGAGGCCAAGGCGGGCAGATCACCTGAGGTCAGGAGTTCGAGACCAGCCTGACCAACATGGAGAAATCCTGTCTCTAATAAGGATACAAAATATCTGGGCATGGTGGTGCATGCACATAATCCCAGCTACTCGGGAGGCAAAGGTAGAAGAATCGCTTGGGCCCAGGATGCGGAGGTTGCAATGAGCTGAGATCGCACCATTGCACTCCAGCCTGGGCAACAAGAGTGAAACTCCTTCTCATAAAATGATAATAATAATAAGGATTCTTGTATAAAGCATAAAAGACAAGAAATATGATGCCAAAGAAATAAGCACTTTGGTCTGTTAATTTTAAGGCTTTCATTTTCCTAATCACTACTTAATATGATTTTGTCACAGATGTTGGCTTTTGTGGCCAATGGGAAACTTCACTAAGTGACTTCACAGCCTTACCTTCAATTTCTGCGCTATATGTTTGTGAAGAATACCAAACTGAAAATCCAGTTCATGGTCGTATGGCAAGGCACACAGGTCAAAGTAATATTTCACATAAACACTGGCAGACACATGAATTTTAAACTCAAGTAGCTCCAAAAAACTCTTCTCCATCTTACTCCTGGGGGAGGAGAAACATAATAAAGCCAACACAGGTCAATTTTAGTCCAGTGGGTTATCTTTAAAAATATCATTCTGAGCTACTAAGATGCTCCAAATTCTGTTTTGAAACAAATAAAGGCTGACTGGTAGGGTCCTTACACTAATGTCCAAACAAGGCACAGCTGCTTGGGGTCTCTTCATCATCCCAGCACCCCAAATTTTGGATGAGGGATAGGTAGAGGCCTCTTCTGCACTCCTGCTACTGACCTGGGGCTTATTCTTCACAGTTTCCTTAGGGCAGCTGCACAACTCAGACTCCACACGCACTCACAAACCCCGCAATCACAATCAGATGACAGGAATGATGGGTACCATTAGTAGTTCTGAAGAAGCTCCAGGCGTGTTTACCAGGATGATAACAGGAAGGGACTTACTGAAGTAGAGAAGCACCAACGGGAAGATGGGGCACATCACCATGGCAACAAATGGACCCATGGAGACCCACCCTATTACCTCGGAGGAGGAAAAGCTCTAAGGAGGATTCATCCCAAATAAATACATAAGCAAGATACATTCCATGGCAAAAAGAATCCCCCTCCCTCTGCTCCAGCACACAAGGCTATGTCAAGGAGGCATAATGCAAGTTTCTGCTCACCTTAATATTATGAAGAGACTGGGGAAGAATAACATTTACAATTTGAAAGGCAGAAAAGTCAAGGAGAGACATTTTGGCTAGACTAAACTCATTTTATAATGTGATTTATAGTAGGACTCTGGCCTTAACACATGCAGTGTTGCTCTTGGGTTGGGAATGCAACCCTGAAGAACTCAGTATCTGTCACCACTGGGCAGAATAGAATGTGGGGCTGTTGGATGCAATGGGAGAGGAAAGGACTGGGAGCCGTCCTCTGCCTCATGGTCATCCAGCTGCCCTCACCAAGGCTAAATTAATAGGTACACAGTTAGAGTCATTCTGGCTGCTTTCAGAATAACCCCTGTAAGAAGTTAATTGCTTAAAAATGATCAATATCTGAACAATACATTTGGTTTCTTGGTTTGAAAATTTTAACATTTTACCCACTGGCTTGAAAGTGGAGGACAGTTAGACCACAAGCCAAGATGTGAGGATCTCATTTGCTGAACTTAAAACTCAACTGAGAACACATGGACACAGAAAGGGGAGTACTAAACACTGGGGTCTATTGGGGGAAAAGGGGAGGGCCAGTGGGAGGGGGAGGTGGGGAGGGATAGCCTGGGGAGAAATACCAAATGTGGTGAAGGGGAGAAGGAAAGAAAAGCACACTGCCATGTGTGTTCCTATGCAACTGTCTTGCATGCTCTGCTCATGTACCCCAAAACCTAAAATCCAATAAAAAATTAAAAAAAAAAACAAAAAAACTCAACTGAACCTACTTCCAAATTAATTTCCTGTTCACATATCCATAAGTCTATAGAAATGTAAATCAAACAATATTGAATAGACAGCTAATCAGGACCTGACTTACTACAGGAATTAATGGCACTTATGAAATTAACATATCTATTAATAGAGGTTTAAATCACTGAAGAGAAGAATTCTGTGTACAGACTATGCATCTTCTAGGATTTCTGGTTTTTGAAAAGGCTAGATGATTGAATAGCATACCCTTTATGACACAGCATTTCTGAATAGTGGCTACTCAGTTTACTCTCTAGAAAGAAAATATATTCTAGGGACACACAGAGATGTTGGAAAGTTTTAAGAAAATCTGATGGACAGCAGTTTTTATCTGTTAAACTGACACTCAAAATGGGGTCACTGCAAACAGTCAACAGCAGGGGGGTGAGACACATGTCTATTAAATGCTTGGATGTAATGCCTTCCAGCTTCCCAGGATCATACACAGAAGCAGCCTGTTCGGAGCATAGCTCCTGGTGTTTCTTCTCCGTTCACACACACACAGCTCTGTTTGGAGCCGGTCTTCTTGGGGCTGGCCTCTGCCTCCACCTGCTCCTGAAGCTCACTTCTGTGGAAAGCTGCACATATCCCCACATGCTCTCTGATCTTGTAACTAGAAATCAGAGCCCCAGCCAGCTTAGCTGCAGGTTTTGAGAACAATTCAGCTGCCAAAATGGCAGAACTAAGTGTTCATGATTACAAATTTGAAACCACCTTTGCAAAAATTGTAACTAAGAAAATTATGACAGTGAAAGAGGGCTGATCTGACTTCATCTCACTTCTAACCTCCAAGCTGTCCTTGTTCATTTCTATGCGGAGGCCGAAGTAACTTTGGAAGGAACTTAGTTTGTAGTTTGACTTTAAAATAAAGATGGTAATGACCCTTTCCCAAAACAAACCCCTTTCCCACCTGGGGACTAGATAGATGACCTTTCCAGAACTAATAAATTAGCCACAAGATTAGAAATTGTGGCTTAGGAGTCATGAGGCTGAAGGCTGCAAGAATCTGAACCTCCCCATATTGCTCCTGGGAATGACATCACTATTGTAAAACCTAAAATCAGTGCTTGAGATATTTTGCAGACCTTGTACTGGGATCAGGTGGCACCACCCCAACAAATAAACGTGGCTCATCTGGTTTTGTGGCCCCCACCCAGGAGCCAACTCAATGCAGGAGGACAGCTTCAACTCCCTATGATTTCATCGCTGACCTGACCAATCAGTACTCCCCACTTTCTGACCCCATACCCACCAAATTATTCTTTTTGAAAACCATCCCAGAGTTTTCAGAGAGACTAATTTGAGTAATAGTAAAACTCCGGTCTCCCGTACAGCTGTCTCTGCATGAATTCAACTTTTTTTCTATTGCAATTATCCTGTATTGATAAATCAGCTCTGGCTAGGCAGCAGGCAAGGAGAAGTCAGGCAGTCACAAATCTTGCTTCCTTTGAGGGACCAGTTTGCAAATGGATGACTATGATTAAAGTCACTTTAGCATTTGCAACTTTCAAAATACTTCCATTTGTTTCAAATTCATTTGCTGTCACACTCTTTGCTAAAATGGCTACCACATATATTGCAATGATCACTTGGTTTATACTCTTAGCAAAGTGGTGGCAAAAAATGTTTTTTTATTTGTTTCTGAGAGAGAATCTGGCTCCATCACCCAGGACTGGAGTGCAGTCACGTGATCACAGCTCACTACAGCCTAATCTTACCAGGCCCAGGCAATTCTCCCACATCAGACTCCCAAGTAGCTGGGACTACTACAGGCCCCTGCCAACACACTTGGCTAATTTTTTTAAAAAATTTTTGTATGGACAGGGTTCACTGTGTTATCCAGCAGGTCTGAACTCCTGTGCTCAAGCGATCCACTCACCTCGGCCTCCTGAAGGGCTGGGATTACAGGCATGAGTCACTGAGCTCAGACGCCAAGTAGTTATTTTTGAATGTAGATATGTACACATTGCAGCATATCTACAATATACACTACATCTTCATTTGTAGACAAACACTGAGGTGATTCTGAATAACAGTCCTATCTGGAGTCATGGGCAAAGATCACAAAACTAACTTGTCCCACTGCCTGGCATCATCTTTTCTGCTGCTGCTCAATGTAAACAAGAGCTGCTCCCTTGTCTTGCACCAGATGCAGCTGACACAGCTGTCCTCACTTTCCAGCAGGCACCCAGGGCGGCTCTGCTGGAAATGCCCCCTTGCTCACCCTGCCTGCCTGCTTCAGGTCCCTTCACTTCACAGCAGTCACAAAGCCAAATTAGAAGGGAACCCTGGGGAAGCTGTGTTTCAGTGTCATGTTGGTGCATCCGGGAGGAACCCCATGACCCCGCAAGGCTCCCCGCAACTCTCATAAACAACTACTGGCCCCCAGCCTGCTTCTGTGAATGTCTGAGTACCCAGGGAGCCTGTGAGTGTGGTGGGCATGGGGTGATGCCCCAGAAATGCTTCTCACACTGTGGGAGGTGAATGTGGAAGCTTCTAACCGATTTTCAAACACATGCAATGTTCCCAATGGGGAGGAGCCAGGGCACAGAACATCATACCTCAAGGTTCCTATAAAAACAGATCTTCAGATTAAAGGGGGTAGACAAGGACCAGCAAAAGCAAATACACAATGGGTGGCTTAGGTTAAAGCTGTAACTTCTGCATAGTCCAGAGACCTTAAGACCTTAACAGTGGCCAATTATTTCGAAGGCTAGATGTTTGCCCCTTAAAAGGGGACTGAAACTGGCAGGTGGCTTCTAAAAAGCTATGAAGATATTTACTATACTGTGTCATTCTGACAGCACACTTGTAAGAGGTTTGCCAAAAAAAAAAAAATCAGAAAAACATTTTCTAGTTTATCAGCCAGTTGTTACAACAATAACACAAGACTTACCTATTATTGCTGGAAAATATAAACTGTTATACTAAGGCTGGATAGATTGAAGTCTGTGGTCTTATGCCTATTTCCTTTATCTGCACAATAAAACCTATAAAGATATTTCTTGCAGTGATAACTTGGAGAGCAAATGAGGCATGGAAAATGATGACAAAGTTTGCCCAAACCTTAGAAACTCACATTTTCTCAACTGCAACATCCTTGGGATTCTGGCTGTCATCCACACTCCACAGACCACGATCTCTCCAAACCTTGGAGGCCAGAAGCATGGCTCCGAGGACAATTTTTTTCCAATTAGTAGGACAAAGATCAATGTTAGCTTTAGTTAAAAGGCGTTCAATGTACACCTGCAAAATAGAGCACTTGTCTTTGATTTCAGTTCTGTTTCAGTGTGGTGATAAGAACATTTCAGAATGAAAGACTTCTGGTTTTGGCCAGAAAATAAGTGCCTTTTATTATTACGTTCTGCAGAGACTTTGCTCAGATAAAGCGAGAGGGCAAGTCACAGTCATAGTCAGATACCTCTGCAGCATACTCTGCCCACAGAACTTTCCATGCCAATTTCATTCACAGGGATGTGAGCATGAAGAAAGGCACCTTCAGCACCTTCACACTCATGAAAGGCAGCACAAACACAGGCCTCGTGCAGATTAAGATTGTTCAGGAAACACTACTGTGCCATCTGTGTGCAGCATCACACTTGGCTGGCAGGTAGATAGGAATGTGTTGCCTGTTCCCATCCTGCTCCCCACAGCTCCTCCAGGACATCCTCTCATTTGCTCACAGTGTCATGCCCTGGTTTCAGCTCCTCACCTCCCATCTCTCCTTATCCACCCCCCACCCCCATCACTCACCTGAGACTTCTCTTGCCGAGGTCCCTGGAGCCTTCACACCCACAAACCAGAGCCCTTCACCCCAAGGCTCCACTCCCCAACCTGGCCCTAATCTTGCGAGTTTACCCTCCTCCAATCCATGTGCAATCCCTCTATGGCTAACTTCACTGGTAGGCTGCCTGCTTCAGATTCTGGGCCACCATGTGTCATGGCTCACCTGTAACAGCCTAGTTGCTTCTTAGTCCTCTTCTCTGCCCCAACCCTCCTCCCGACTATGGTCTACTCTCCCCAAAACAGTTGTGATAACCTCTAAATTAAGGACACTGCACTCTCCTGCTCAAGATCTACCATTAGTCCCCGCTTCAAACTGGAATAAAACCTTAACTTCGTCCCCTGGTCTGCAAGCCAAAGGGCTCTGTGAGTTATGGCACTGCCTGTGCGACCTCATCTTTTCCATTCTTTCCTTCATTTCTCTCACAGGTGGGCTCTCTGCTGTCTGTTCCTTGAACACACATGAAATGTGTTCTTGTCTCAGTCTTGGCACTCATCACACTGCCTGTATGCCAGCTCTCCTTATCATCCTCACTTTATAGTCAGGTCACTGCTCAGATGTGACCTCTCTAGAGAGGCTCTTCCTGATCATTCTATCAGAAACAGCGAGCCCCTCCCATCACTCTCTCTGTATCCTGCTTTATCATTTTGCTATTTGCCGTTACCTAAAAAAAGAAATGCTTTCCTCATTAAAGCAAATGTCTCATAAAGACAAGGACTGTGCTCGACCTGTCCTCTTCTCTGCCCCAGCACTTAGAAGAGTGGCACAGGGTTGGCATCCCAGGGGTGTTTATGGAATGAGCACCTTCTTGGCAGCATGTAGCACTGTGACCACAGCCTTTCCTATTGTGAACACTTTGTTCTTATTTTTTTCTGCTCTTCCTCCTCCCACTCTGGCACTTTACTGGGGGTTTGTCCCTCACATGCTGGTAGTCTTTACAGAGCCATCTTTTGTCCATCTTCTCTTTTTTTCCTTTTCCTGAGTAGCTGTGACTATAGGTGTGTCCCACCATGTCCGGCTTGTCCACTTTTATTCTAAACACCTTCTTTGCATTTGAGCAGCTACTCTTTTTTTCTTTTTTTTTTTCAGAGTTTTGCTGTTGTTGTGCAGGCTGGAGGGCAGTGGTGCAATCGTGGCTCACTGCAACCTCTGCCTCCCAGGTTCCAAAGATTCTCCTGCCTCAGCCTCCCAAGTAGCTGGGATTACAGGTGTTCACCACCATGCCCAGGTAATTTTTTGTATTTTTTAGAAGAGACAGGGTTTCACCATGTTGGCCAGGCTGATCTCTAACTCCTGACCTCAGGTGACCCACCTGACTTGGTCTCCCAAAGAGCTGGGATTACAGGCATGATCCATCATGCCTCGCCTTGAGCAGCTACTCTTACTCTTCATTCCTTACCTCTAGCTCAGATTCATGCTCCAGTCCCATAGATCCAAATGATGACTACACTGCTCAGATTCATGCTCCAGTTCCGTAGATTCAAATAATGACTGCACACATCATTCTGCTATCTCACAGGCACACCAAATTTAGCCTGTATACAGTGAACTCCCCCTTCTTCCAATCCAGCTTTCCCTCCTGCATCAGCTCGCTCTCTCTCCATCTGGAAGTACCACTCCTGCTTCCCTCCAGCATGTGCTGAGCATTCCCAATGGTTGCAGCTCCATGAAATGGCCTGCATCTGATCCAGTGCTCACAGAGAGGTTTCTATGCAGGTGCCCAGCAGAAGCCTTCACCCCTAAGTTCTAGCCAGATGCTAAAGGAGAGGGTACTGCTCTAAGTATCCTTTCTCTCCAGGCCGTGTGGTTGACATTCCTCTACAGGTTAGTGTGGGGAGGGCTCAAACAATCCCAGCCATCTGAACAGGACTTTATATTCAGAATGAGTCTCACCACAGGAATTCTGTGAGAACCATGTAGAGGTAAGGACACAGCTGTGGCTTGGCAGGCTAACTAGCAAAGCCCATGTCCAAGTCTTACTGGTTCCACATTCCTGGGCAATTTCCTGAGCAGGCACAAGAGGTCACCAGGAACAACAAAGCATTCAGAGCAGCAGCTCCAGGTCAGAACTGTGGGGAAATACAGCCTGGAACTCAGCTTAGACCTACATGGGAATCTGTTGAGGGAGAAACCAGAAGTCTCTCCCACTGCTTTTAGTAGCAATTATTCTGTGATAAGAAAAGCAATGGCATCATTTTAAAACATGACGATGATTAAACTCTAATATGTGTATTTACTTGGCTTACATAGGTTTCTCTTAAAAGATCTGATGATAACTTTAGGAACTGACTTTTATTTAGAAACATGGCCATACGCTGTGTAGGAGACCAGTTATTAAAGCTGCTTTATAGATAAGAAATAGCTTACCAATGCTACGATCGCACATGGAGCTGTTAGTTCTGCGACTGCAAAAATATTACAGAAATAACTGAAAATGCATTTGTGTGTGGGATCGTCCTCAAAGGATTTCCCTGGAATCTCTTCTTGCTGAAAGAAGAAAAAAGGCAATATAAATATTCATTCAAGAAAACTTCTTAAGTACTCTTAAGTTCAAATTTGTGCCCACGTGTCCCTTACAATAATTTTGCTGGGATAAAATGTCTTTTAGTTCTAAAAATATAAACAGTAGGATCTTAAAATATTTTTGGTTTTCTGTAAACATAGGTGCTAAGGTGGCCCTGTGGCTATCACATACCTGAAGAAGGAAGTTTTTAAGTTTTTATAGCATTTAAACAAATTTAAATTTAAATTGTTTTCTAATACTATTCACAGAATTTGTGCATATTTGTTAGGACTACTTACAACTATTTATATTGTTTGCTGCTATAAAAAATTATCTTTTAAAATGACACATTTTGTTATTTGGATGGTATGTTTATTCCCCTTAGTGCACAAATTAAACAAAGCTATAAGTCAGCTCTTACTCCAGTGTGTCCAATTTACAACACTCCTTACATAAGATGATTGGATACAACTTAGTGAAGACTTAATGGTGGATGATTTTGACTTCATCAAGAAATAAACACAACTCTATAAGATATAAACAGAACCTCAGAGAAAGTGACACTTACTGAAAGTGGATGTATTGACTCATCGAAAATAGCCAGAGATCTATTTGCATATCTGTAAAAGAAGAATGTGAATTTAAGAAATTAATTCAGGAACTGTTAATATCTTAGTAAAGTATCTGCTGGGAGTAGGGCATGGAGGGTGGAGGGAGATATTTCTTGTTTGCTTTGGTAAAATTTGTTCACCAAAACTGTTGTTGCCCATTTTTCTCCTGGATCCTGGCCTTCAGAGGGTTTCTTGACCTCTTTTTCATCAGCACATCACGTTCTGAACTGGGAAGTCTTTTCTACATTGATGAGCCAGCCTTGCCTTTAAATACTGACCCCCGCTAATAGGCAATGGGAATAAACTGTATCTATTTTTACTACTCTAACCTCATGGTGGAACACAAGAACATTTTAGAAAGCAGTCGTTGTTGGCAATAAAGATTATAGAACTTTTTAAAATCAATTAAGATTTCCCAAATCTTTATTATACTTTATGTTTGCTGAAGTAGTTTGAGTTACAGACTTAATTGCCTTTTTATTTTAAAAGAGGCCAGTCTTTAATGAACTTTAAAAACTAACACATTATGTGATCATTAAGGAAACCAATGGTGCTACCAACGTGGTTTGTGGACCCCTGAGATTCTCTAGGAGACCCATGATGTCAAAACTGGTTGTTGTTGTTGTTGTTGTTGTTGTTATAGGGTTTTTCTCTTTCACCCAGGATGGAGCACAGTGGTACCAACCTGACTCACTGCAGGCTTGACTCCATGGGCTCAAGCAATCCTCCTGCCTCAGCCTCCTAAGTAGCTGGGACAAAATGTCCACACTACCATGCCCAGCTGATCTTTTTTTTCTGATAGATGGGGTCTTGCCACATTGCCCAGGCTGGTCTCAAACACCTGATTCAAAGTAATTCTCCCATTTTGGCCTCCCAAAGTGCTGGGATTACAGGGGTAAACCACCATGTATGGCCCAAACTGTTCTCACAAGAATACTAATTCAACCTGAGAAGCTGATTGAAAATAAAACACACAATTTATTACTTTTTTAAAGTATTAAGACATTGACTGCTTCCTTCCTGTTCAACACTTGTAATGACTGTTTAAAAGCAAAAGTGGGTAAAACTGATGGTTTCTCAGTATGAATAAGGGCAGTGGTACCAAATTATACCAGTATTCATTCCACTCTTCACTGCCCCTTGCAGTTTTTTTTTATTAAAGTAGCCTGTTTCACTGAAGAATGTCCTTGATGAAACAGTAAAAATTAATGTATTTTAGTATTCTTTTTAGTATTCTAAGTAGAAAGTTCACATAAAGCACTTCTGTATACTGAAGTATGGTCATGTTAAAGAAAAGCAGTTGTGATTTAATTGTGAGCTGAGCAAGCCAATTTTTCACAGAACACCATTTTTATCTGAAAGTATAACTGACTATTATCTATAAAATTAAGTCAAGAGAGTCTGCCATTGCAGGGAAAATAACAAATATTTGTCTATAATAAAGCTAAAACTTTCAAGGTAAAAATCAGGACTTTGAAAACTCATACCTACTACTGTGAGCTTGACAGCATCTCCATATCTGAAGACATTTTTATAATGGTGGTGATACTAATGAAAGTGAGTTTTTGACACTATAAATAGACCAAGTAGCCAATGCATAACATTGTAAAAGCCAGTAAGGGGAAAGATCCATTTATTGTACAAGAAAGATCAGTGACTATTAGTGAACGAATTCATTGATATGTACAATCCCGCTATAACTATTTTAATCAGTTAGCACTTCTGGAGTTTTGGTGGGGTTAAAGAATACCCACAGTTACCTGAAAGCTTCAAAAATATGTCTCTTTCCTACTATATATTTGCGTGAGGCTAGAGCATCTTTTAACTGCTTCTTTACAAGTAAATTGCAAACAAAGACATAAACAAATACACTTTGGAACCCTTAATAATTTAAAAGAGTCTTATGGACCAAATAACCCACAAATGATTCACTGTAACACTGCAAAATAAGCACTCTACAGCTTATAATATACAGAGTTATGACCTGACAGCGTGTTTCGTATGACACAAAGTGATGAGCTGGAATAACAAGATAGGTTTCAAAGAGCTTACCTGTGCTTTATGTTGTAATATATTGCCAAAGTCACACTGTGGAGGGAAAAAAAATTGTAAGAACTGATGTTATCATTTGTTAGGCCTGAAGATATATTTCTAAAGGGGGAGGAGGGAACCCTCTCAGTGGCCCTGAAATCCTCTCTTCACAACAGTACCATATGAACACTTTCCTTTTGTTTTAGTCCTCTGGCCTTACAGCAAAAATAGGAGAACTAAAATGCTAGGCAATATGCTGTTAGAAGACTTGTGTGTGCAGATGGTTATTATGTATAAATAATGACATATTTTCCCTGTCATTTGCTCTTCTGCCCATAGAACCTTTCATTCTGGGCAAGTTACTTATATCTATGTGTACATATGCTTACATTTAGGCCAGACAGTAGTGTTTTGCTTTTTAAGTTGCTGGCCCCGCATTTTGGCTGATTTAGTTCACCATCACCTACTCACCCATTTGTCATTGTTTCCCTAAAAGCAGAGAATGAATGTGCTTTATACCAAATAAAGTAATTTAAAATCACCTATGCATGATTAGCAGAAAATTTATTAGTAAACATTATAATGCATCCAAAAATCGATGACACTTGTAGTGCTCCTAAAATAAGCAGTACTAAACACAGAGTGTAACACCACATCATACATTTATGGCAGGTACTTCCTCATTAGTTTAAACAAAGTATGAATGAACAAATACAACTCTTCGGATGGATGTTACTGTGTTCCAGTCATCCACAGATGTTGTGTGTCAGGAAACTGGGGCTTCTCTTTGATAAGTTCTGGCCTTCTATTCACCCTCAACATTTAAAATGTGGCTTGTAATAATTGAGAAGGCAAATTGGAGTTGTAAAAAGTAGGCCTTACAACATTTTTAGCATCTAAGATAGATATTTCTATAGTGCTTCCAACAGTTTCATCTCCACATTTTAAGATCACAGAATTGGAAGTTACATGCTGAAAAGGACCACGGAACCTCACGTGACAATCCATGCACCACCCATTTTACAATTAAGAGAACCAAGGCTTAAAACTGATTTGCCCAAGGTCCCCGAACAGTGTTCCTGTGCACTGCAGGTGTTTACAAAACATTTTGGTATGGTATAAATTGAAGCATATGCACACATAGATAGAAATGACTCGCACAGATGAAAGGCTTTATGGGTAAAAAGAAGAGCAAATGACAGGGAAAACATGTAATTTTTATATTATAACCATCACTTTTTCACACAAAGGGAGCAGTAGCCTCCGCCTCTGCATTTGCTGCACACTGGATCACCCAGGGAGCTTTAAACAGGGCCTCAGTGTCAGCTGGAGACTTTCTGATTTAATTGGTGTTGGGTAAGCTTTAGGCATCAGGGTTGTTGGTAAAGTTCCCCAGGTGATTCCAATGTGCAGCAAAGTTTGGGAATGACTGAATTAGGGCTAAGATCAGAATCATCTGGGATGCTTTTATCCATATAATGATGTCTCACATACTTCCCCATTTTCCTAAAAGGTTTGTGAGTGCCCAGAGACGGAGGGAAGGTGGAGCTGGGAAAATGCATGTGTTTGCAGACGTATATTTTGAAGAAACAGTGTAATTGATTCTAACATGGCTCACTTCTTCCATTGAGAACAATGCTCTACTATCTATGAAATACATTTTTCAAAATCTTTTCCAAAAGCCAATTTGCTATATTAACTTGCTCAGTAAACCTTTATTTCATCAAAAGCAAATATACCAAATAATCTCTTCTAAAACTGGAGAGTACATTAAAACTTACTGTGCTTCAAAAATAGACTTGTAGCCCAGGCATGGTAGCTTATGCCGGTAATCACCGCATTTTGGGAGGCTGACTTGGGTGTATTGCTTGAGCCCAGGAGTTTGAATCCAGCCTGGCCAAAACAGCAAAGCCCCTTCTCCAAAAAACAAAATATATATATTTCAATTTTTTAAAAACCTTGTAAAATTTAGACTACGCTAGTAGAAAAAGCAGGACTTTTACTTGTTTGAGCAAGGGTAAGCTTAAAAACTACTTTTGAATTGCATACTGAAACATTGGAATCTTTTGAAATCAGAAGCAGCCAGGGACTCTAGCCGAAAAAGGGTGGCTTTTTACTTAGGACTGAATACAAACATTGAGTGATGACAGCACAGAGGTCAAAGCGCAGGGCTTTAGACACAGGTGGAGCCCAGTTCTTGCTGAAACACAATTGGATCTCAACTATTGTTATACATGAGAGAGGAAAGTCACATTATTATGAGTATAAACTGTCATTTTTGATTAAAGTAGAAGTTACTGACAAATTAGCTTAAAAACAAGTACATTAGAGACAAAATTAAGCTTGTAATTTAGTCATGTTTATAGACCAGAAAGTCAAGTTAGGGATAAGGAGATTAACATTCTGAGGTACCACTTGCCAAACTGTTTTCTGAAAATCAACACTCAATGGAAGGAGATGTTAATAATGTTTCCTGGGCATCTCCATTGGAGCTGGCCTTTTAAACCAACTTGAACCCATCTTTCAAGGGTGTTTTGAAAGGGCATCTCTGATTGTGACCTATGAAGTGCTTGTGCACGATGGAAAAATTTAAATGCAGATACACTATGGTGCTGCTGGAGGACAAGGTGTTCCTTCTTACAAGAGTAGTTTCCAAAGTAGTGCCCATCATCTTAGGCCTATGGCCTATAAAGAACTAATAATTTTTCCTAGAACCGTCTGATAAAAAGCACCTCTCCTGTCTATTAGGTTCAATACTGTCATAACATAAATGCATCCAATAAATAGCCATGCTTTTTCTGGGATTGCTTATTTGCGAACTGGCTTTCCCTTTTACCACACAGTGTCTAAGATTAAAAAAGAAACAGAAAATTCATACTTAGGTCCTGAAAAATCCATATACCGTTGACATCAACTTCTTCAACTGCTTGCTGAAAGGGGCAACCAAATAGCTGAAATAACAGCAGATGGCCGGGATGCTTTTAGCATATGGGGGTCTGTCACTCAGCCCTTGGCAGCCTCATTGTACTCACCTTTCTAATATGTGGCTGAGATCAGGCTCACTGACTGTGCTGTTACCTAGCAATATGGTGGAACACGAGCTGTATTTTCTACCAAGATGCCATCGAGGTATCTGAAGAAGAAGGAAGATAGAGAAAAATATCACAGTAGGCTGAACTTACAAAAGTGTGGGTTTTCCCTTTGTCAAAATGTCAAACAATAAAGCATTAAGGTATTTTTTATACCCCGTGACCTGCCTGAGTGTGGTATCATGTGCAGCTCTATGGGAAACTCATTGGAGGCTCTTAACTTTCACAGATGATGTTTGAGAAATGGGTTACAAAATGCTGCCCTGGATATGACACCGATCATCAAACCTGGCAAGCCTCTATTGTAAATTCCCTTTATAAATAATGGGAAACATTTAAAATGGGATTTCATGCTTTTTTCTTATGCAGTAAAAAGCACTGAGATTTTCTATTTCCGTTATTCATTAACTGAAACAAAATGTCATACATTAAACAATATTGACACAAGAGCATTTGAATGCAGTAAATGAAGACCTAATACAACATTTACTAAGTTACTAATCCTAAGTGTGTGCATTCAAGAGAGAGTGTGATGGAACCAGTGTGTTAGAGTCAGAGGCTGTGTGCACCAGAGCTGCTCAGTTCACCAAACAAGTGAAGGGCCATAGGTCTCCCTGGGCCTGTTTCCTTGTGGGAGGATGGAAAAAGTACTGCTTTAAGACTCTCTCACATCCAAAAATCAGATGATGAAAACAACTTTGGGAATTTAACTTTCGCTTCATGTTTCCATAAGACTGCTATTACACTACTCAAATGAGAACTTCTGAGAATACTCTGCGTTCATTTCAAAAGTTAATTGATTTCATTCTTTAAGTTATTTGATGCACATTATGGCACATTCCTGCCTCACTCATGCTGCTGTCTGTCTGGAATATTTATTCCTTTCCCCCTTGTCCCAGCAAGCTTGACCTCATCCACCTTCTGGGCTCCCTTTGCCTGCAGCCACACCACAGAACATTTCTGGTTTTGTGACTCATCAGTCTAATTCACCGTGTGTTACATGATACAATTGCCTGCAGAGCATCCCCCTCATGAGAAAGTGAGCCTCTCCAGGTGAGGGAGGACCCCTTCTCTTCTACCTGCAGCTGCTGAGCACAGAATGTGGGAGAAATTAAGGAGTTCAATAAGAGCTTGACAAATATTTAAATCAGTTACAATTTGGAAAGTAAATCTTCCTGCAGATACAAATCAGTGAAAATTCATCCACAGTGCTATCAGAGATATGACAGTGAATGCTTTGAGCCCTGTAGAAAAGAAACTATCTCTAAAACACTTTCAAAGTATCTATTCATTTGTTGAGAGTGCAATAGTCAATAGGGAAGCTGCCTCAACTATGTTAAGTAAATGTTCCTCCTTGCCAGGTGAGGTGGTTTATTCCTGTAATCCCAGCACTTTGGGAGGCTGAGGTGAGTGGATCATATGGTCAGGAGTTCAAGACCAGCCTGGACAAGATGATGAAACCCCATCTCTACTAAAAATACAAAAATTAGTCGTGGCGTTGGGTTGCTGTAATCCCAGCTATTCAGGAGGCTAATGCAGAGAATTGCTTGAATCCCGGAGGCAGAGGTTGCAGTGAGCTGAGACTGTGCCACTGCACTCCAGCCTGGGTGACAGAGCAGGACTCCATCTCAAATTTTAAAAAAAGAAAGAGAGAGAGAGAGAGAGAGAGAGACAGAGACAGAGAGAGAGAGAGAGAGAGAGAGAGAGAGAGAGCGAGAGAGAGAGAGAAAGTGCTCGTCCTTAAAAATAATCCCAGTAGCCAAATGCCAGTCACCAAATAGTTGAAAAGATCAACAGCATTGTTTAAAACCACAAAATACCCATTATGTTAACTGGGAAAAAAAAAAAACTAACTCGGATGAGCCTTCCTTCCTCCTCTTAATATGCTTGTTTGCATCATGTTATCACACTCTTCTATCAGGGTCCCTCACAAACACATTAAAGACAGAACAGGTTTGGATCTACTACTAATGAGCTAGTATGAAACAAAAGGCAGGGTAGGGAGAAGATCTAGTGGTTGTTTATAAAACTACACTGCATTTAAACATTGCCAGTAGCCAATAATCAGAAATATCCATAGAGTCCAACAGCATTTTGCTGCTTCAGATGGTTTTTACTGCAAATTCACTTATTTCTTAATCAAAATCCAAGATGTTTTTGAACAATATTACTATTTGAAGGACCAAATTACCCTTTAAGATAGAAATGTTTTAACTCTAGCTAAAAACTCTTAATGTTTCTTAAGCTATTCTGTTAATTTACATTAACAATGTATGTGTGTCAACGTATATACTTTAATTATCTCAAAAACAAATATGGCATAAAAAATAAAAATGGACTCATTCAGACACTTTTATTCAACGGGAAAGAAGGTATCCCTTAAGGTCACTACTATTAGGGATAATGCAGCATAATACTTTAACATAACAAAAGTCAACTCTGAGGAAAATTCCATATATGAGAATAAAAATAACAGGAAAAATGCACCAAAATACAGACTAGTTGGTATAGCTTTAGGTGATATCTGTCTTCATTTTTTTTTTATTTAAAATTTCCTATCACTCACTGTGACCTCCACCTCCAAGTTCAAGCAAGTCTCCTGGCTCAGCCTCCCATGTAGCTGGGACTACAGGAGTGTGCCACCATGCCTGGCTAGTTTTTGTATTTTTAGTAGAGACGAGGTTTCACCATGTTGGCCAGGCTGGTCTCGAACTCCTGGCCTCAAGAGATCCACCTGCCTCAGCCTCCCCAAGTGCTGGGATTACAGGCATGAGCCACCACACCCGGCCTTCAAGATCACTTTTTTCTCCCCACTTTTTTATAAGACATGTTTTAAATGTTTTAAAAATAATTAATGACTTTTAGCTAACTTGAAAATTTCCAATACTTTGTGTGCTAACAAAATCAGCTTCATCTATGTTGCACAGCAATGGGACCACATGGCAGGTATGGAGTTTGAATAGAATTATTACACAAGGCCTGAGTGGAAAAGTGTAATATGCTTATTATAGGTATAACTAGAAAATTGTCTGAATTAATGTCATAATTATGTTCAATTTAAACTTAGATTTACACTTACATATAGGTTCTAAATTTGGGTTAAATATGATGAATTGACCACAAAATATGATGGATTGACCACAAATTTATTTTCTCTTCCTTCTGAAATCTCATGAGAATTAGTCATAAAATGAACACTATACACAGGACCAGGAGACAGGATTGACAGCAGATTCTGAGTCAATGTTGCAAGGTGACAAGCAGATAGAGGAGTGGTAACTGACATGAAAGCACAACCCTGGTGCCCACAGGGAGTGACCTGAACAGAAACAAGCAATCCTGTGTATTTTGAAGGACCCGACACAGTCTGCAAAATCAGAGCACATGGTACCAGGGAAGGTAAGATGAAACATACAACAGAGCCAACAAGGTCAATAGTAAACCTGTGGTTAGAATGCCAGGTCCACTTGTCCTCCCATCTTATAAGAAATGTGGATGTGTATTCTCTGGATATATTATACCTGAAGGTTTCTGTGCTCCGACCTACCAGGACTGAAACCTGGGAAATGGGAGTAAATGGCACACACAAAGTGAAACTCCACCTTGCTTCCCAACCCTGTTTCTGGAAAGCCAGCAGCCATGCTTGCACTGCCCAGGCAGAAAATTGGGAGGCCCTTCTTGGAAGAAAACTGAACCATGGCAAAGAAAATACCCTCATTCCCTCATATATACACTGATGTCCCTCAAAGGAAAAGCTGCCTCGACATCCAAATCCCTACAGTGAGACCCCTCAGTGAAAAAAAGGTCCTACTTTCAATGAGAGAAAGCCAAAGACCACCACACATTTGAGCAAAGCCTCCAATGGGAGATCAAAACAACAGGAAAAAGGAATTCCTGGGAGCAGTAAAAATTCAGGAGCAAAACTTTTTTACAAATCTTAAATCACCCTTAAGGAGATTTTTAAAAATTTGATAGAACAGTTAGCATGGACAGTCAAAGAATCTCTAAGAACAGAACAAAAGATAAACTGGAAAATCAAAGGTAAAGAAGTTACAGATCAATGCAGAAATACTGGTCTAAGAGGTCCAACATCTGAATCATTAGACTAAAATAATAATAATAAAACAAAGCACACAGAAAAATTCTCTAAATTTTATTTTAGACTTAATGGTCACAATAAAATAAAAGGTCCCTACCAAGCTTTGTGTTACAATTTCAGAATCTCAGGGATAGAGAAGGTCCAAAACACTTGACAGATGGAAACATTGATTACATATGACATATCACACAATGGCAATACTTTCAAAAACAGTATAATAAAAATGCAATAGAAAAATGTCTTCAAGCCATGACATTTAGTTTTCACTATAGAATTTTATACTCTATATCAAATGAGGGATTTTAAGAAAGCCCAGATCTCTAAACATGTGTGTATATGAGCCTTTCCTCAGAAACTGCACTCCAGCATTACTGGGGAGTAACACAAAGCAGAGCGCAATGCACAGTCTAGGACTCAGGGACCCAACATTAGTCGTCCCAGATTTCAGAGAGAGCTCCCAGGCCAACAGGTGCAGGGCAGCCCAGGAAATCACAGTTCATCCTGAGGATGATAATGAAAGGCCAAGGAAACTTGCTTCAAGAAAAAAACATGGAATGTATTTTTTTAGTAGATAAAACATATTTTTGATAGGCATGTGAAAAATGTTACAACTCTTGGGGAAGAATAGTTGTTAGAGAGCCAAAGGAATATAGTCAGAAAATCAATTACACACACACACACACACACACACACACACACACACAAATGAAGGATGTGAAAACAAAGAGACCGGCGGAGGCTAATGGTCACATTTGGTTTTATGAGCCATCATGGGCTAGGAAAGGGGAGGTTATCTTGGAGAAGTGCAGAAGTGTTCAGGTTTCGAAATATTTAAGAGAAAGAATGAAGGATGTGCAAGGAAGAGGCACATTCAGAACATTATATGATCAGCAGTGAATAATATGTGCATAGTCATAATCATGTAAATATCAATTCATGATTTAATTAAAAGTGTGTTATAGGTGGAAGAAACGGGGAGGGAAATAAGGGTGCAGTGGAGTGAGGATGCTGCGCTTTCAGCTGCTGTGACAGGGAGTCAGCAGAAAGTGTTGAAGAAAATGGACGTGGCTATTTTCAATTTGATTTGATTTTAAAAGATTAAATATTTAAGGCAGATCTTTATATCACAACCAAATTATTTAAATTTAACTTAAATGTCAGACAGCCTTAAAAATGGGCACAGTAAGTTAAAGACTTTCCTGCATAAATCAGACACTTAGGAAAATAGAAAACAGTTAGAAAATTCACCAAAAGAGGATCAAACTAACAGCACTGGGTCCCTGTTACATTTCTAAGGAATTATGACAGATAGACTTTTAATTTAAACAATTAATTTCTTAACTTTTCAAAAGCTTACTTACAGAATATAGGCGAGAGCTTCTCCTCTTTCCTTGCACTAAAAATAAAAATATAACTAATCAATTCTGGTATAGAAAAATACCACAGAATAAAAGTAGTTGCTAATCATCTGATCATCACTATATAAAACAAGATAAATCTGATTATCACTATATTAAAAAATCAATTTTTAAAATATTTTTAATTTAAACAAAATTTAACATTTAAATAATCCAGCATGATGAATCTCATAATGTAAAATTTTAAAACAGAGTTTTACTTTTTGACCTAACACATATTCTATTATGTTCAAATGAAAGCATCTCCATGTACATAAGGAAAGGCAAAACAAATTAGGCAAAGTGTGTGCCCTCCAAATCTCATGTTGAAATGTAATCCCCAGTGTTGGAGGTGGGGAAGTCTTTGGATCACGGAGGCAGATCCCTAATGAATGCCTTAGTGCCATCCCCTTGGTGATGAGTGAGTTCCTGCTCTGAGTTCATGCATGATCTTCTTGGGGTTTTGTTGTTACTGTTGTTGTTCTGAGACATGGTCTCACTCTGATGCTCAGGCTGGAGTACAGTGGTGTGATTATGGTTCACTGCAACCTTGACCTCCTGGCCTCAAGTGATCTTCCCACCTTCCCCTCTAAAGTAGCTGGGGCTGCAGGCATGCACCACCACATCTGGCTAATTTTTAAATTTTTCATAGAGACAGGGTCTCACTATGTTGGCCCAAGGTGGTCTCAAACTCCAGGCTCAAGTGATCTGCCCATCTCAGCACCCCAAAATACTGGGATTGCAAGTGTGAGCCACTGCACCTGGCCTGATCTGCTTATTTAAAAGCCTGCAGCAACTCCCACTCTCTCTTGCTCCTTCTCTCACCATGTGAAAGATGACTTCTTCACCTTCCACCATGATCATTAGATTCTTGAGGCCCTTGCCAGAAGCCCATGTTAGCACCACACCTCCTGTATAGCCTGTAGAACTGTGAGCCAATAAAGCCTCTTTTCTTTATAAATTATCCTGTCTCAAGTATTCCTTCATAAAAATGGCAAAATGTGGGACAGATGAGAAAATTAGCTAATAAAAACGTTTACTATTGTATTTCTGAACCCCTACGCAGCAGTGTTTTGTTTTCAGATTCTACATTTACACGTAGCTTACTTTCATTACCAGGATCTAATAACTGACAGCTCTCAGAACCAGTTTCTGGCCAGGAGTCAATCTCAAGATGCACTAGAATATCTGGAAGCATCCCAAACCACTTCTCAGTCATCTATTCATACATTACTGAAAAAGTAAATGGGTCTTTACTCAACTGAAAGGTAGTCTATCTTAAACTTAAATATCAAAATGAGGGTGCCAATCTAACTGCACGGGGTATCCTCAGCACACACAATCATTTTGTTCTAACAAAGGTCCAAAGAATAAAAGCTCCCAAGAGGGACTTGGGCCACACTTTCTTCCCTATAATGCCTCCTCCTTTGAAGTTGAACTGGTCTCATTGACACACATTTCTCACCACTGAAGTGACAGGGGCAGGGGATCAGTTTTCTTCTACTTCCATGCACTCTAGGTGTGAGAAGCCCATGGCTCTTGGAAGAAACTGAGAAATAGAACAATCCTAACTAGAAATGACTAGCTCAAGTCAGACAAAGTCCACACAAATATGAAAATGCAGGTGAACAACTCCTTTTTTATGGTGCTGCATTACTTCAGATGTTATTCTAGAATCCCCAGTTCTTGTATTCTTGTTCAAATTAACTGAAAAACATGGTGTATGGCTTTTTTAAAAATAAAGTAAGACAACAGAATGTTATGTAACATAAGCAACAGTACAGAAAAATCCTACAGTTCTAATTCTCATCCTAAAACAGGCAGGATATGAAAACTTTACACTAGTTTCACACACTAAGGCTAATACAGAAAACAGCACGGGGCATGTTACATTTCTATTACATTCCAATGAAAAAGTTCTAGCATCGACTTGGATGTGACAGTGGTTAGAGCACTGTGAACAAGGAGCCAACATCACAGATCCAATCTAGAACAATGGATTCTTTTTATTTGCTCAAGTGAAATCCAAGCTGTGGCCAAAATCCTATCAGTCATTATTAAAACATACTCTTTAAAGCAAGGGAAAAATGGCAAAGACGTATGAAGAAAAAGGTATAAATCCGTGACTACTACACTAAATCATGTGGCCAATTAATCATGGTAAAATGGTAAAAATGTCACCAAATGTGTGAACACGAAATCTATATGTTTCCATAAACATTGACAACTAAAGGAAATTATATCACATATGAAAATAAGACAAGTAAATCTATGAAAAGTTGAACGTTTTTAACTAATATCTGAGTTTCTCTAAATACTTTCTGTAATACACAAGACAGAAAAGTTTTAGGTTTTCCTTGAAGGCAGAAACAATATTGTCTCACCATGCATTTGATACTTTCTCAGGAAGAGTGTGCTTGCCCTTGGATGGTAAGAAGCAATATCTGTAGAGGAAGAAGAGGAAACAATGTCACAAGTGAGGTGAGTAAAAAAGATTCTTTTTAAAGCTACATAACCATTTGGATCACTTTTAACAGTCTTGAGAAAAGCTTTTAGTAATAAATGTCAGGAAAATAAAGGCACCAATGTCCCAATTCTACTGGAGAATGCAAAAATCACAGAATCTCTCCATGCATGTGGAATAAAACCAGGCTAGGGCTGGGACTTCTTTTTCAGACTTGCACCTAAATAAAGGGATGCAACTTTTAGATGAATCACATATATGCCCTCCTCCCTCTACTTATCAGATATAACCACCTTCCTCTAGGCTGCTCTTACCAGCACATTTCAGGGAAAGTCTCAAGCAGTAAGAGATGCTGTGGTCAGTTACTGTGGTCCGACACCTGCTCAATATTTCAAATGTCTTAAAACAAAGAGCTGTTTGGGGCAAAAACAATTTTTTAAACAATCAAAGTCTCACTCTGTTGCCCAGGCTGGAGTGTTACAATGGTGAGATGGAGCCAGCAGAACTTACTGAAGGCACAAACTCCTGGGCTCAAGAGATTCTCTTGCAGCTGGAACTGTGGGTGCAAGCCACCATACCTGGCTAATTTTTAACCATTTTTTGTAGAGACAGGGTCAAATGAGACATACTTGTAAATGTGTTATAAATCCCCACAAATGATATGAAGAGTCTATTTTGGGCCGTCATCCAACACTACCCATCTGCTACCTGGTGTGTGAAAGCACTCAGAGGCTTACTTTACACCACCGAACAAGGAAAAGCTTTCACAAGTACTGGCATGCTTTGTGTATAAAGGCACAATTCATTCACATACTTTGTTCATTCTTTCACCATTTTTGAATATTCTGAGAGAACAATACCTTTCAGCTACAAAGTCACATTCATCATGAAGCTTAATTATTCTAACGTTTAAATAAATTAAGAGGCCAACCAAAGTAAACAGAAGAGCTGTAAGACACCTCCTCTACAGCAATGAAATCTGTAGCGTACATTTTCTATCTGGAAAACTTAGCGTTCGGCCAGCCTGGGGTTGAGAAAGGGGCCAGAACTGGGCACTGGGGTAGGGAGGAGGAAAGAAACCTCCAGATGCAGCAGGGAAAAAGAATAAAGGGTGGCGGCAGGCACGAGGCAGGGCCAGTCCTCCCGCCTGGTGCATGGGCCTGGGAAAGCTGGCTAGGGGCAGGAGAAAGGAGCCCGAGGTTGTGGATGCCTCTGGGGTGGGGAGAGGGGGTGAGAACTGGTATCAGTGTCAGCCAGAGTCGTGCCTAAGGGCAAACAGTATCATTCATTGCCTTACCTTTGGGCATCACCTGGTCGCTGATGTGCTGCAGGTCATGGCCGTTGCCGGCTCCCAAATCCCACCGGGCAGGCTCCACGGCAGTAGGATCTGGCACTTCCACCACCTCCCCCTCATTGATGTTATTGCTGCAGAGCGGTTCTGCCCAGTGCACCCTGCACTGGCTCTGCTTTCGTCTGCCATTGGGGAGCACCAAGATCCCTCTGGCCGGCCTCTGCTTTTCTCTGCCTTGGTCTGCACTTAGGCTTGACACTGCCTCATAGATGTCATCGCAGCTGCCAGACACCACCCCACACAGCCAGCTCGGGCCCCAAATGGGTCTGGCACTGGTGTTGTACATGTTCCTTCTATCTTGGCCCACACCTTTGCTTGCCACCGCCTCATTGATGTCAGAGCTGAAGGGCAGATCCTCAGACCATCTACGCAGACCTCGCCTGCGGCTGACTTTGGGGCACAAACAACAACTCAGTGTGTTCCCCATGGGGCACCTTGGCTCCTCTCCAGCAACTTGGACCTTCCCTTGCCTCCCAGTCTGCAGAGTTCAGCACTTCACCTCTTTCAAACACAGGCACCTGGCAGGGCCAGCCCCTGGTGATGGGGCTGCACCCCACTAACAACTCACTCCCCACCTCAGCTGCCTCCCCTGAGATGACTGGTCTGAAGCGAACCTGCTTGATTTAAAATGGGTCTAGATACAACAAGCCTGAGGGCTGAGATCGCGGAGAAGACAGCGCAGAGGGAGCTCCTCCTTCCACTGTTTTCTATCAACTGAAGGAGGTTGCCCTACCAACCACCAGAGTTCCAACCTCGTGCCCAGGTGCCAACCAGAGGAACCAATCAGAGTCTCCCCCGTGAGGCGCCCCCACGCGCACTGTGAAGCGGGAGCCCAGGCACTGGCTCACCAGGCCCCACCCCGCTGGCAGTCCCGCCCACACCTTTCATTCGTTGCTGGCTGCTGGGAGCTTTCAGGTTTCTCCACGGTGATGACGTTCCTAGAGATCATCACCTTACAATGAATTATACCAGAATTACTGTAACCACATCTGCTTCATGCCTTATCTGGTATCCAAAGAACTCCCTTTCCCCTGTGGCCTCCAAGTTCTTACAAACTAGAAAGAAGAGAGAGTAAATTTCTGCAGTTGCTTTCAGAGAAAGCATTGCCATGAACTAAGGGTACTCTGTGATGTCAACTTACATTTTCAATACATATGTAGATTCAATACATATTTATTCAGTTTACATTTTTTTAAAATTACACACACATTCAATCAAACTAACAATAGTAGTAAGGGAAATTTTCTAAAATTTATGCACTAAGTACATCACATTTTTCTTTTCTTTTCTTGTTTTTTAAGACGGAGTTTCGCTCTTGTTACCCAGGCTGGAGTGCTATGGCACGATCTCAGCTCACCGCAACCTCCGCCTCCCGGGTTCAGGCAATTCTCCTGCCTCATCCTCCTGAGTAGCTGGGATTACAGGCATGCGCCACCATGGTTAGCTATTTTTTTTTTTTTTTTTTTTTGTATTTTTAGAAGAGACGGGGTTTCACCATGTTGACCAGGATGGTCTTGATCTCTTGACCTCGTGATCCACCTGCCTCGGTCTCCCAAAGTGCTGGGATTACAGGCATGAGCCACCAAACCCGGCCCCATCACATTCTTCTAATTATCACTTGGATAGAGCAACTTAGAATATATGGTTTCAGCAAATGAAAAGGCTTATGTAAAAGAAAACTGAGCCAGTGAGGTGGCTCAATCCTGTAACACCAGCACTTTGGGAGGCTGAGGTGAGTGGATGATGAGGTCAGAAGATCGAGGTCATCTTGGCTTACACAGTAAAACTCTGTCTCTACTAAAAATACAAAAAATTCACTGGGTGTGTGGCACACACCTGCTGTCCCAGCTACTCAGGAAGGCTGAAGCAAGAGAATTGCTTGAAGCCAGGAGGCGGAGGTTGCAGTGAGCCAAGATCGCACCACTGTACTTCAGCATGGGTGACATAGACAAATTCCATCTGGAAAAAGAAAACCACCACATAATACAAGATTTTATGTGCCATAACCTCACTTTTGGTAGAATAACTTGAAATAAAATGGTAAATTTAAAAAAATTAAAATATATATCCTGCATTTTATTCATTTATATATGTCAAAAATAGTAACCTAGACTAAGATATCCAATTCAATTAGTAGATGTTTCAAGCCACAAGATTTAACAATAAACAACATTGGGTCTAGGTAACAATCCCCAGCTGGTTCAGGGAAGCTCTACCCCTGTGTGGTACTATGGTGTAAAGATAGTGTCTCTTTTAAAGAGGGATGGCCTATCCCTGAATGTAGGATGGAGTCAGTCTCACTGCACCTTCATGACCCATTGTATTTACCAAACTTTACATTTCTTTCCTAAGTTAAATACACGTCTTTTTGGGAGAAGACAGAGCACTACATGATATTAAATACTAACCAAATAATCATACAAAGAAAAACACAGATAAATAATAAAAACATTCAACTGCTGAAACACAGCAACATTAAGCCACCTCAGTTTTCTTTTCCCAATGCTTGCAACACCCCCAATCCGTCATCTTATGAAAACATGGGAAACAACACATAGTATGACATGGGGAAGTTATATCTCAACACTGTGGAAAACAGTTTTAGAGCTCAACATTAATTTCCAACAGGTATTGAGCCTAGTAGCCAGTAGCTATTTTTCCTGATCCTCTTTCTCTTTCCAATCTCCACCCTCCAGTAGGGCCCAGGGTGTGTTTTTCCCCATATCTGTTCACATCATTTAGCTCCCACTTATAATTGAGAACATGTGGTGTTTGGTTTTCTGTTTCTGTGTTAGTTTGCTAAGGATAAAGACCTTCAGCTCCACCTAGGTTTTTGCAAAGGACATAATATTATTCCTTTTCCTAGCTGCATACCATTCCATGATGTATACATACCAAATATTCTTTATTCAGTCTACCACCGATAGGCATTCAGATTGATTCCATCTCTGCTATTGTGAATAGTGCTGTAATGAAAATACACGTGCATGTGTCTTTATGACTGAATGATTTATATTCCTTTGGGTATATACCCAGTAATGTGATTCCTAAGTTGAATGGTAGTTCTCCTTTTAGGTCTTTGAGAAATTGTCACACAGTTTTCATCAATGGTGGAACTAATTTATCCTCCCACCAACAGGACATAGGTATTCCTTTTACTCCAAAATATTGCAGCATCTGTTATTTTTTTACTTTTTGGTAATAGCCATTCTGACTGGTGAGAGACAGCATCTCATTGTGGTTTTGATTTGCACTTCTCTAATGATCAGTGACATTGGGCTTTTTCTCATGTACTTCTTGGCCACATGTATGTCTTCTTTTGAAAAGTGTCTGTTCAGGGAAAATGTGGCATATATACACCGTGGAATATTATGCAGCCATCAAAAACGATGAGTTTGTGACCTTTGTAGGGACATGGATGAACCTGGAGACCATCATTCTCAGCAAACTAACAAAAGAACAGAAAATGAAATACCGCATGTTCTCACTCATAGGCGGGTGTTGAACAATGAGAACACATGGACACAGGGAGGGGAGCACTACACACTGGGGTCTGTTGGAGGGAACACGGGAGGGACAGCATGGAATGGGGAGTTGGGGAGAGATAGCAGGGGGAGAAATGCCAGATATAGGTGAAGGGGAGGAAGGCAGCAAATCATACTGCCACGTGTGTACCTATGCAACTATCTTGCATGTTCTTCACATGTACCCCAAAACCTAAAATGCAATTTTAAAAAAGTTGAACACTTTCTAGGAATATTCATTTCTTCATGATAAAATATTATAATATTTTATTGTAAAAAAAAGTGTCTATGACTTTTCACTTTATAATGTTTGTTTTTTCTTATAAATTGGTTTATGTTTCTTATAAATGCTGAATATTAGACTTTTGCCAGCTGTGGTTTGCAAAAAGATTTCTCTCATTCTGTTGGTTGTCTGTTTATTCTGTTGATAGTTTCTTTTTGCTGTACAGAGCTTTTTAGTTTACCTAGGTCCCATTTGTCAATTTTTGATTTTGGTACCTTCATCATAAAATCTTTGTCTATCTCTATGTTCAGAATGGTATTGCCTACATTGTATTCCAGGATTTTTATAGTTTTGAGTTTTACATTTAAGTCTTTATTCCATCTTGAGTTAATTTTTGTAAATGGTGTGAGGAAGGGGTCCGGTTTCAGTCTTCTACATATGGCTAGCCACTTATCCCAGCACTCTTTATTGAATAGAAAGGAAAATTTCCCCCACCTAGCAAGACAGGCCAATGCTCAAATACAGGAAATACAGAGAACACCACAAAGATATTCCGCAAGAAGAGCAATCCCAAGGCACATAATCGTCAGATTCAACAAGGTTGAAATAAAGAAGAAAATACTAAAGGCAGCCAGAGAGAAAGGTCGGGTCACCCACAAAGGGAAGCCCATCAGACTCACAGCAGATCTCTCGGCAGAAACACTACAAGCCAGAAGAGAGTGGGGGCCAATATTCAACATTCTTAAAGAAAAGAACTTTCAACCCAGAATTTCATATCCAGCCAAACTGAACTTCAGAAGTGAAGGAAAAATAAAAGCCTTTGCAAACAAGCAAGTACTCAGAGATTTTGTCACCACCAGGCCTGCTTTACAAGAGCTCCTCAAAGAGGCACTACACATAGAAAAAACAACCAGTACCAGCCATTCCAAAATCACACTAAATGCTAAAGAGCATCAACATAATGAAGAATCTACAACAACTAACAGGCAAAACAGCCACTTAGCATCAAAATGGCAGTATCAAATTCACACATAACAATATTAACCCTAAATATAAATGGACTAAATGCACCAATCAAAAGACACAGACTGGCAAATTGGATAAAAATCCAAAACCCATCAGTGTGCTGTATCCAGGAAACCCATCTCACATGCAAGGATACACAAAGGCTCAAAATAAAGGGATGGAGGAAGATTTACCAAGCAAACGGAGAGCAAAAAAAAGCAGGAGTTGCAATTCTCATCTCTGATAAAATAGACTTCAAAGCAACAAAGATCAAAAGAGACAAAGAAGGCCATTACATAATGGTAAAAGGATCGATACAACAAGAAGAGCTAACGATCCTGAACATATATGGACCCAATGCAGGAGCACCCAGATACATAAGGCAAGTTCTTAATGACTTACAAAGAGACTTAGACTCCCACACAATAATAGTGGGAGACTTTAACACTCCACTGTCAATATTAGACAGATCAACCAGACAGAAAATCAACAAGGATATCCAGGGCTTGAACTCAGACCTGGAGCAAGCAAACCTGATAGACATTTACAGAACTCTCCACCCCAAATCCACAGAATACACATTCTTCTCAGCACCACATCACACCTACTCGAAAATTGACCACATAATTGGAAGTAAAGCACTGCTCAACAAATGCAAAACAACTGAAATCATAACAAACAGCCTCTCAGACCATAGTGCAATCAAGTTAGAACTCAGAATACAGAAACCAACCCAGAACCGCACAGCTTCATGGAAACTGAACAACTGGCTCTTGAATGTTGACTGGGTAAACAATGAAATGAAGACAGAAATAAAGAAGTTCTTCGAAACCAATGAGAATGAAGACACAACATGCCAGAACCTCTGGGACACATTTAAAGCAGTCTCTAGAGGAAAGTATATAGCAATAAGTGCCCATATGAGGAGAATGGAGAGATCCAAAATTGACACCCTATCGTCAAAATTGAAAGAGCTAGAGGAGCAAGATCAAAAAAACTCAAAACCCAGCAGAAGACAAGAAATAACTAAGATCAGAGCTGAACTGAAGGAGA